GTAAAAGGCAAAAATATACAGACAGAAAGCAGATGAGTAGTGACCTGCCATGAGTTGAGCTGCCAAATGTTTTCAGATCATTGTGCTACCCTGTACAAAATACAGAAGTTCTAAAGTAGATTTACACCTGTGACTTTACAAGATGAAAGTGCAAATTGTTATTGTTCTTTTACACAGGGCACTTTCCTCAAGAAAAAGGCAAAGCACACCCAATAAGAGCATACACTTAGAAATTGGCTTCTCTGTGTCTGTGTGTTCGTCCCTTAATTTAGCGCCCGTCTTCTCAAGCTTTGGGGTACAGTAGAAGCAGCTTCAGTTAATCACTGCTCCCAAGTTAAATGTGGGCATCCGGAGAGGAGGGAGATGTAATGGTTGCTGCAGCCATGCCAAAGTGTGCAGTAGACGGGTAACCAAGAGGGTCAATGAGCATCCTTGTGAAAAAACACTGTTCTCAACAACTATACCTAGTTGATTCAACATTTGTGGAGCACCTACTGTGTTCAGCATCTGGAGCTACAATCGTATATGGAAAGAAGTCCCTAACCTTGAAAGTCACCCAGTCTTGGGTGGGAGGTTGGGGAGAGGCTGGTTTGGGGTAAAGGAGAGCAGGAAATATGAGATATTTTAAAAATTCTTTTCAATATTTCAATAAAATTCTCAGGTAACTGACCTGAGGCTTCCTTGCAGTGAGAACAGGACTTAGGTTTATTTAATCCAATATTCTGTTGGCAATCAAACCCTCAGACTTGCAGGACAATGATGACCTAGTCTGTCTGTCTTGACATATACATACAGGAGTTGGAGGGAGACTCTGCTCTCTTTGAAATTCCTCCGTGCCAAAAGAATGAAGACGACTGGGGCCCAATTCCACAACTGGTCCATCATTATGTCTCCAGTGCTCCTTTGTGCTCTTTACAAGACCCTTGGACATGATGGGGCCATAAAATGGAAAAATCCTTGCCCACAAGGGAAAGACCATTGGATTATTATGTGTGCAGAAATAATCATTTTATTGTTTAAGTTACTGAAATCTTCATGTTTGTTACAATAGTAGTGTTATCTAGTAATTTGTATTAGTGTTATCTAATAAAGAAAAATGGTGCTGCAGTTACAGAAACTTAAAAATACCTGACAGTTTAGTTAGGAGCTGAATGGCAGAAAGAGGAAAGGGAAGGGAAAGGGGAGGGGAGGGGAGGGAAGGAAAAAGGAAAAGGAAAGGAAGAAAGGAAGTAGGGAAGGAAGGAGGGAAGGAAGAAAAGGAAGGAAGGAAGGAAGGAAGGAAGGAAGGAAGGAAGGAAGGAAGGAAGGAAAGGGAAAAGAAAGTAAGTACTGTAAGCTGGAAAAATTGAGACTCATGTTGTTATGTGGTGGTGAAATATTGAAACTGTCACCTGTAATAATATGAATGACAAAGAACAAAGAGACTGCTAGGGAAGAGGCAAAATGGTAATGTGTATTGACTGTTCCTCGCCATATTTGTGAAGGGGGGTGGGAAGAGAGAAGAATTGACTAATTTAAATTGGCAAGCACAAAAATTCCAGAAATTTGGGTCCTTGCAGTGTTACAAAAATTGAGTGCTTAAAGATTCCAGACAACAGCAAATAAGACTAAAAAAGGCTTTGACCAATGCTCATTAAGACATCAGGCAGCCCTAGCTGGTGTGGCTCAGTGGATCGGGCACTGGCCTGTGAACCAAAGGGTCGCTGGTTTGGCTCTCAAGTCAGGGCACAAGCCTGGGATGTGGGCCAGGTCCCCAGCAGGGGGAGCTTGAGGGGCAACCACACATTGATGTTTCTCTCCCTTTTTCTCCTCTTCCCCACTCTCTAAAACTAAATTAAAAAAAAAAAAAAAAAAAAAAAAAACCACATCAGATAAACAAAGTCTCAGCCTTGAGGAAACTGCAGATTAGAAATATTATATTCCCATCCAGGCCTTGTTTAGATAGCTTCAAGGCAACTATTAAGTTTACAGGGAAACTGGCTTGGGAGCAAAGCAGCAAAAATGTAATTCCTGCTCTCCACCCCTTCCACCCTCCCAGAGTACCTGTCACTTCTGCCAGAAACCATTCGTCCCTGTGAGCCCGCTGTTCTACTTAGCTCTGGACCCCTCACAGCCCTGGTGCAGGGCTTGGAAAATGTACCTTGAACAACTTAATTTTCATCAAATAGGTGGTAAGCCTTCTTCTGTCTCATGTTTAGCTGCCATCTTATTTCCCTTCTGATTCAGGTTTCCGCTCTTCACTGCTTGTAGAGATTCCAGTTGAACAGGTCATGTTAGGGTTTAGAGTGGGAAGCAGGGTGGGAGAAGAGGGACCAGCATCCCCGAGGAACCTGCTGGGACCGCTCCCCAGTCAGGGGCTCTGGCTCACAGGAACCCCTGAGAGGGATACTGCCTGGGTCCCTCACATCCCTCACACCTGGTGAACTCCAGCACCTCTGTGTACAGCCAGCCACTATGAAAATCAAACCTCGTCTCGGCTCTGGACGTTTCTACTGTAATGGTTTTCAACATAAGACCAATAAAATTAACACTTGTGAACAAGAGAGAAATCCAGTAAGAGAAAGCCATTTATGACACAAGCTTAGTAAGTCAATCTCATGTTAAATTAGTAAATTTAGGAATGGCCCTCCATGCCTTAAGACCTCTTCTTGGATGCAGAGTTGCTTTATATGCTTCTTTCAAATCCAGGCTTAATGTTACTCCCGAGTTCTCACCTAGACATTTCCCACCAGCCACCCCCTCTAGCTGCCCATCTCCTTACCTGGAGGTGCCTCTGCCAGGGAACAAGCTGTGAGCCCTGCACCTTGGTGGCATTCCAGCCCCACCCCCTTGGCAGGTCCAGGGTCAGCTGAGAAGACCCAGGGCTGAGGACACAGGGCTCCAGGAATACGCGTGGGCACAGGTTGAGACAGCCGCCCAGACGACACTGGCCAGGGGAGGGAGGTCCCCAGCTAGGCAGTTTGTTTCTGGAAGGAGCCAGCCAGGTTGCCTCCAGCTTGTGTTTGCAAAGCTCCCTCTGCACAGCAGCCAGGGGAAAAATTGCCTGCGGTGACAGAAGGGGCCCCTACCCTTAAGGCCCGTGGGAGGAAGTGGATTTTGGAGATTGAAGGAAGTTAATGGCTTCAGGGGAGGGTGACTGCAGTGGGGCAGCTGGCGGGGGTCAGGGCCACACTGCATGGGGTGGCGGTGGGGATCGAATGTTTTGGACATACTGTGAAACATCCAGATGTTCTGGTGGCAATCCCTCCTTGTTTGGCAAAACCTGTTAGGAAAATGACCCAAATGCCAAAGAGAAATGACCTAAATCTAAAAGTGAGAGGACTAGGGGACACATGAGGACCCAATTTACCAACCCTTATTTCTGAGAAAAAAGGTACTTTTTTTTAAAGTTAGGACTAATTAAGGCCTTAAGTTCAAATATGTAATTCACAGTAATATTTCAAATATGAAAGAGGTAATCAGCTTATTTGGTGTGAAATGATTTTAACAAGACTATATAGAAAAATAACTCATATCTTTTGCATGTGAGTTGAGGATGAAAGGCTGCCACACTGACAACCCCTACACCAAGGCTGCGGTCAGTCACCCTTGACCCTCCCCATCCGCGGTCCCGTCACCAGCAGCCACCCGAGCAGGCCTGCACTGCCTCTCGCTGCTGCCAGGCCACAGGAGCCTGCACGGCCACAGAGAACCCTCCCTGGAAGGGCAGCACATATCAAGTTTGGACATATTTTTTCTTTTAATTTATTTTCACATTTACAGACTCAGGCAGCCGTTTTGAGAAAGGGAAGGTGAAGGCTGCCTGGAAGAAAAGCTGGGCTCATGGGCACGTGGGACTTTTCACAGGGAAATGATCCCGTATCTCAAGGGCTCTCAGGGTCAGAAGGCATCTGACGTGGTAGCCGTGGCTCGCTCCTCAGCGCCTGCAAGATATGTTACTGGAAGCTGCCTCAGCCTGGGATTTTATTGCTGGTGAACCTCACTCTCCAACTTAGAGTCTGGGATGATGGCACTATCAAAAACAGGTCCAGTGGTGGGCACGTTGCTGAGATGAAACTGCAATGTGTAAGCTGTACGGACTGCAATGCTGCTCTGCTGGCCTGCAGCCCCAGGGAGGGCCCAGAGCAGACAGGAGGAGAAGCCCCCGTCACCCACCCAGATGAGACAAAGAAGGACAACAATCAGGATGGGCACGCCCAAATCCACAGCAGCCTGAGCTCCGAACCCAACCAGCTCTCCCTTTTCCCCATGCCATGTTCCCTTTAAGGCCCGCAAAGATGTTCACATTCTCGGGTGGGAAGAATATACACACTCCACTCCCCTTACTTTCCAAAATTATGTATCTCTCAGGCTGAATGAGATAATCACTTGGCAGGGAGAGGCTCAGAAATGTGGACTGGTAGTACACAGGCATGTATTCTGAAAAGATGGGCTGCCAAAAAGTGCCCTTGGGTTACTCCTGAATGTCACAGGACAGTCATGGAAAGAATGGTTTACCTCTATGTTTACAGCAGTGCCACGAGGAAAGCCAGAGGTGTAATTTTATTATGCAGATTGCCCCTGCGATTTCTGCACACCATTATCTTTTCAGGTCTCCTGGAAGTGCTGGGTGCTAGTCCTGCAATCCCCCAGCGGCAGGCAGGACCACCCCATGTTAAGGAGGCAAGTGCACCTGCTTCCTTAACAGCTGAGGGAAATGACTCCTAGTGCCATATAATTTTTCCTCCTGGTCTGTTAGACTGCAAATGTTTAGACCTTTTCCCTAAGGAGAGCAAAGACCTACTGGCATTGGTAGGGGGTGGGGACGAAGGCCCTCAGTGCACCTGATGTTCAAACTAGGCCATAACGTCAGGGTGCATCTTCATCAGCTGAGGCACACGTGGGTCCATGGAGTCTTCAGGCGTGTGATGGAGGAAGCGGTGTGATGGAGGAAGCATCTTCTCTGTGCTCACATCTCTACCTTCTTAGCCTCTGGCCTGACAAGGGTATCACAGTCCTACCCATTAGTTTAGCAAAAAATCTGGCTTCTGATACCCAAAGAGCTTAAAGTCCCCTTGGAAACGTGCATATAGGCGGCGGATGTCCCGTTTGCTGATGCCTAGAAAGTAGCGCTCCACCTTGGTTCTATTATACGCAGTGATGCCCGGAGGAATGGTGGGGTATGACACCAGGTGGTCTATGCCAGCCTCTCTTAGGATGTATGGGGCATCATCCTCCAGGGTCTCATGGTGGCCAATCACACTGTATGTTATCTCGCAGGGTGCACACAGTTCTACATACGTCACCCAGTGAATAATGTGGTCCCCAAACTGAAGGTCCAGCCATCTGTGATTTGGATCGCCCAGGTAGCGCACAAAATCTTCAAACTGGATGCCCCGGGTCTCTGTCCGGTTCCTCCTGTATTTTCTGATGATGCCAGGGGCAATCTCATGCCTGTACCAAGGTTCAAAGCGGGGATTATGAACAAATTTATCCTTAAAAGCAGAAATCAGTCTTTCGAAGGGATCTCTTACAATAAAAAACTTGAAGTAGGTTTTCAAGCTAAAGAAAAAAAAAATGAAGATAAACAAGAGGTTAAGTGGATGCTGTTGGTGATACCAGTCGTGAGGGTGGGAGTGGAGAGTGACAGCTGGAGCAGCAGTTGCCAGGGCCTGAACCCTCGCCCAGGCGAGCCCCGAGCGCCTCACATGCACCTCCTCCTTAATCCACTCCACCGCACTGGAAGCAAATCCCATTATGAACCCCTTCTACAGGTGAGCAAATGCAGGCTCAAAAACCTTCACTATCCAAGGCCACAGAACTCACCCCTCACTCTCGGGGACGCTGTGAAAACTATTAAGCCTATATTTTGTTTTACTTGACTGTTTCAAAACTTTAAGAACATTTAAAAGTTTTGTCCTTGAGCACAAAGTCCTAAGGGCAGGAATTCTGAATGAGTTAGGAAAAACTGAGACCAGAGAAAGTTACTTTGTATCTTTAAAGAGTCAATTCAAAAGTGCCAGGGACAGGAAAAATGAGAGATGTTAAGAGAAGATGGAGAAGGAGGCTTCAGGGTCCAGCTGACAGGAGAGGTGGCCTAGGAGACCTGCAGGAGTGGCAACGGTGCCACCGAGGAGTGAAGGGCCTGCAGCTGTGAGGGTGAAGACAAAGCAGTGAGGACACTGCTGTCATTACAGTGCCTACTCCAGGCCGGAAACTGCTCTCAGTGTTCCACAGGACTTACTCCCTCTCACCAAAGCCTCAGGATGTATGAGATCAGGAGGGGACCAGGACAGGCCTGGCCCAGACCTTGGCGCTGGCATTTAGCACCTACATCTTGAAGGGTTTGTACAAGTTGGGAAGAATGCATAACCAGGGCTGGAACCAATGAAAAAAAGGTGTTGAAAAGAGAGGACAAAGTTCAGTTGGTTCCTGACATTCTTATCCCTTTTAAACATTGTTCTATACAGCCATTTCATAGCTCATAAACAGAACTTCTCAATGTACTGGCTAACTAATTTTTAAAAGCCAGCGTCCATCCTTGCTGTGGCCACTGGGATCCGTCTTGCTGTCTGTGCTGGGGACCAGTCCACGCCACCACCCCTGGGTCAGTTACTGTGAAAGCAGGCATAACAGAAAAATGAAACACTAAGTGGGGATTCCCTGCAAACCTAAATCCCTTTTTTATGAAATAACGATCATTTTCAGTGAGAAGTTCATAAAATTTAACACACCCAAAGCAAAACGACCATTCATTTCTATTAGGAAAATGACATAACCTTCATTTTAATGGACTGCACGAAGGTAAGGGTGGACAGTTGTTTTGAAACTCTCATCAAGTTTTCTGAACTTAAGTGCACTGGACTCTGGGCATATGCTCAGCTGTCTCTTGCCAACGCGAGGAGTCCTTGGCGCAATTTGGAACACAGGGCAAGTACGGAACTGAGCCTGGGGTTTTATCAAAACGCCCCTCCCCATATGAACCTGTTCCTACCGCTTCTGAATTTCTGCGTCGCTGAAGGAGGAAAGACGAGGGAGGCCGTTCTTTTCGTGGTCATGAACCACATTTTCAGGGATCTCTTCGATGGAAGGAAAGGCTCCTGGGAAGTAAATGAGGAAGAAATTGTGTTGGCCACCTCAATGCTACATTTAGAGAGGATGCCCTTCTCTTGATCTGGGCCCAGGTTCCCCACAAATCATCTCCAATATCCATCCATGGTGAGGCCTCTGAATTCCAACTAAGATGACTTACACATGGCAAGATGAGAGTGAAGAAAAGCTTTGGTAATCTATAAGCCAACTAGAGGAAACGGACAAGTTAGGAGGAGGAGGGCAAGGGAGGGAGCAAGGAGTGGAAAGAATACTACCCCTGAATGCACTGGAATTGGGTTAAATCTGCCACGATGAACAGATCCCTGCATGCAGAGTGCCTGCGGCCAACAACACTTACTCAGCCATGAGATTGGGGGACATGCCAGCGTAGCAGGACCATGAAACACACCGCTGATTTACACCCACAGCACTGTCACGGGCCCATTGCTCCCGGTAGGCAAGGTGCTCTCAGGACCACATCCCTAGGCCTGAGGTGGTTCCTAGGTAACCTCACAGAATCCCTGATGGCAAATGGCAGAGATGTTTGGCGTGGGAACAAAGCTAATGTCATGGGAGTGATATGATAATTTTGCAGCAAGGGTCAAGGAGGACAAGGAGTGACTAAGAAGAAAACAGGAGGATCAAAAGCCACGGTGCTGGAAGGCAGGCTGATGAATGCTACCAGGGGTGGGGCGGTGGCATCCTTGGGTTGGTGGGTTGGGCAGTTTTTATTCTTTTATCATCTTAGACAATGGAAATACACTGTCATTATCTGAGCCCTTAAGCAAGTTTCTGCAAACCTTTACATCCATCTTAGTGTTAATCCTGCCATGCTGAACTTGGAGTCCAGCAGGGAAGAATCTGTTGGGTTGGACCACCTAAGCAGTGCCCACAGTGTTGTCTATTTAATTCATTCTTCCCCCAAATGTTTAAGCAGCAGTCCAGAACTGTACGCTCACTGCTATGAATGGCTCTAAAGCGACCAAGACTATAAAATGAACCAACTCTGTGGATTTGTAGATGGACCTGCTCAGGTACCTGTCCCCATCCCGGTGCACCTAGGGGCAGCAGAAGAGAGCCACAGGGACCACCTGTTTTTGTATTACAGATGTACCTTCTTTTATTGCACTTTGGAGATGCTGTGTTTTCTTACAAACTGAATTTTTAAAAATTGAAGGCAAGACCCTCCACCAACAAAAAGATTATGACGCTTTATTGCAATGGTCTGGAACAGAGCCCACAGTATCTCTGAGGTGTGCCTATGTATCCCCTGGCAAACTTGCTTCTGTGTTTGTCCTGCCCTTGTAAGTGGGTGTGACTTCTCTAAGACATATGCTTTTCATACTGTGGTGGCAGATTTCTAAGACTCATTTATTTGTTGTCTTAAGTTTGATTTGTAACTTCACTTACAAAGTCAAAAATTCAACACGCTATCAGATTACTCAAGCACATTCATTATATACCAGAAAAGGAGGCAAGTGTCTCTTTCCCCTTCCTGCCCCGCACCCAACCAGTGAAAAGGCAAAATGGTGGCAAACTGACGGCTGAGAATAGCAGCAGCAGCAGGAGGGGGCCGGAGGACAGAGACCCAGGCCCCCCCACAGTGCTCCTAGGTCTGGCTCTTCATGCGGCAATCACACTACTGTCAACTGGTACTGTGCTTTTAAAGTTGAATTTAACAGACAGAGCCCATAATTATCTTGGACCGGCTCAAAGTAAGTGGGGTTTAAACTAATAAACATGGTGTTTGAAGAGTACTGAATAATCAAAAACTGTAGTGTATGAGGTCATTTTTCAGTGATCTAGTTTGTTTCCAAGAGCACATCAGATTTCCTGAAATAGGTTGGTTAAACACTCTGAATATGGATCCCTGGTGTAAAATGAAGACCCTTTTTTCTACCCAAGTGGCACAGAAAACTGTGGGTAAAGAGGCTCCCACACCCACCGGCAGGGCCCCCCTCCCAGGCACTGAGGTACGGGCCCTTCTCACTACAGGAAGGACAGCTATGGGGCAGCCTCCTGGTGGCTCAGTGGGCATGGGGCCTTGATTTACGAGGACAGAGCCAGTGACTAGTAAGAATCACTGCTACAAATCTGAAGAGATGAAAGGGATCCACTGGGTGGGCAGGTTGCCTGAGGTGGGCACTCTGCTGTGGAAAGCGAGATCGTGGCCTTAGTGATGGCCCTTCGAAAACAATCACTATCTAAACTAACCCCACCACCATTTTTTTTTAGTGTACCTAAATAAAATTGTATTGGAATTCTGCCATATTTATTTACCTATTGTCTAGGTCTGTTTTTATACTACACAACAGAGTGCTCACAACTGAGACCTTACGTGGCATTCTCATCACTTCATGCTGCTGCAACAATATATGCTGGGTTCCTGTAGCACAGATACAGGCTCACTGCCTAATAAACATATTGCTTTGCTATTGGATAACAAAATATCAAAATAACCCACACTCCATTGTACCTTAAAGATGGAATATTTTAAGTCCATCCCCACCCTCCCACCCCCAACTTTTAAAGTACACCACTAGTAGGAAAAACAGAGAACTGTCTGAAAGGCTACCAGCCCCTCTTAGGAGATGTCCCTTCCTGTGGTTCCTTTCTGGCCCCTTTTGTCTCCCCCACCCAAGTCACAGTGACCCTCCCAGGGCAAACCCTGAATTCTCTGATTGGGACACACAACAGGCATGGCACGCACCATTTAACACAATCAGCACTTTTTTCCACTGGGTATTGCCCACTTTGGGAGTCTGGCAGAAAAGGATCTTGTGCTTGTCACAGACAAATATTCGGTCCAGGACGAACTTGGACACCGCAGTGTGTGAGAGGTTCTTCAGGGCCTCATCCCTGCAGACATTTCGGATGAGCTCCAGGCGCTCCATATAGACCAGGGGCTGAACAAGCTGCCTGTCTGAAAGCATTTTCCCAGTCGGCTGCAGGTAACAGGGAGGCAAAAGGGCATGAGCGCTTCATTAGACAAGACAGGACGCCTCTCGGGAGGCCGTGCTCCACCTTAATGTTCAATCAGAGACAGCAAACCCTCTTGTTCCTTCATCCTCAGCTTGGACAAACTGAGGGGGGTGGGGGGCTGTCTGCCGGTCCCTTTGCTGACGGAATGATGACCTATAATTTCCTGGAAAACTGCAGGATACTTTTCACTCAGGGTTTCGGTGAAGGCCAGTTTCTGCCTCTTTCATTTCTCTCTAGCATCTCCCTCCATGTGATTCTGAGTGTGTGTATGTGGACTGTATCTAAGGACCAGCCATCTACACACATGTTGACTGTATTGAAGCTCTTCTGGTATATCAGTATATTTGGTTTATTAATTAAAAAAAAAGAACTTAGGTCATTCAGTATGTTTTGAAAATGCAGAAACCATGACTCCATTTCCTCGGTGATAAGCATACAATAATGTTTCTCTGTAAAGGCAGTTAAGGAGAGAGGAGAGTGAAGTTCAGCCACTGTGAGCAAACGCTGGAGCATACCAGCGATAGTTTGTTCTCTAAGGAGTTATTAAACCGGGTGAGAAAAATCCATGTGAACTGTGGGGTGAGGGCTCTGATGCCAGAAACTCATGCCCACCAGGAAAGTGAGCCTAAAACTAAGCAGGGGAGGGTGTGCCAGAAGACGCAATGAGCCTGGGACCTAGAGGACAGCTGAGAGCACAGCCTGTGGCTAAGTTTCTGAGCCTGGGATCCAAGCTGTGTAACACTGGAAAACTGTAACAGGGAATTGTAACCCACCCCACGATTGTTTTGATATCATCCTGTAAGTGCAGACTCTAATACGTAGCTTGTAGATAAACTGTGTTTACATAAGAATCCCGGCAACTAGCTTCAAAAGATACAGACACTGACCTTCAGGCATCGCAGCTCCAGCAGATTTGCTGACCTTCAACCATGGATCCAGGATGACATGAAGCTGAGATGACATGAAGCCAGGATGACTAACCAGGATGATGCACACTGGACCATCACCTGCCTTTCAGAATGGACTATGCTTGTCTGCACATAGAGAACTTTACAACCCCCTCCTTTGATCTCTTTGTTCCGTTCCCCTCTCACTCCTCATAAAAACCTCTTGCTGCACTGAGAGGGGGAGATGGGCTTTAAGACGTAAGTCCCCCATCTTCCATGTGGCCAGCAACTGAAAAGAAACAACTTCCCTTCCCCTCACATCAGAGTATTGGCTTTCATAGCAGCAGGCAGCTGGACCTGGGTTCCATTACAGCTACAGAAGGGAAGGGCTGTGCTTCTTTTATTCTGTGATGTCACCATTTTTGAAGTGTTAGTTTTGACCCCCCCCCCCGGAGTTATCTGGAATAGGTCTTTCAGTAGTTCTTTGCCCCCTCTGTTGCCTTCACACAGAATTCAAGTTGAATGAAAATAAGTCACAGCTCTTCCCACGAAATTCGTGAGCTGAGGCTTCACTGTATCCTGGTATTGAATACGGCAGAGAAGTCCATCCCCCATCCCCAGCTGTAATTTCTTTGTAGTCAACCCATTTTTAATACCTGGGTGGCTTTCTTTCCTGTTATGATTCTAGAACTTTCAACACTTTGCCAGGATATCTCAGTGCATGTCTCCTCACTGATTTTGCCTGGAATACAACAGCCCTTTCTACCTTAATCCTTAGCTCAGGAAATGCGCTTTTCTAAGGACATCTGGATGGGGGTGGGCCTTATGTGAGACAGAGAGAAGAGGTCAGGTTAAGTTAGGAAGTACTCCAGCATTCGTCCACAGTGGCTACACTTCTGGTGCAATAGGGCTGCCAAGCAAAACCCTGCTGTTCTCTTTAACCTGTGTCACAGAGAAACATACTGCATTTACCCTGGGGAAATAGAGTCACAGACCATATAGCACCTAAGTAAATGCTTTTTAAAAAGGCATTACACAAAAGTTGAAGTTCTTTCCTTTCAATTTTGGGTATTTCTTTAAAATACACAAATATGTATTACTTCATTAAAAAAAACTTGATTTAAAAATATTGACTGGGATGTGGGCACCTATAAAGACTTCTGGGAAGTTCTGGAAGGAAGTCTTCAAAGTGCTCTGCAGATTAATTCTACCACATTAGGGTATTTTCTGTATCCAAAGGCTGCTCCCCAAAGACAGCATCATTTTTCTCTTTCTTCAGCGCTATCTTCCACAGCCCTCTCCTAGAGCCCCCTCTGGATTTCCTTGCAGGGCAGGCCTGTCCCTTTCTCACCATCCACAGGCCCCTTCTCTTCTTCCTTCCCTCCTCTTTTCTACAGGGTGACATCCACTCTTTCCAGCCACTTCCTGAGGCCTTCCTCAGGGCCTTCCCACTGCCCAGAAAATCGCAGAGACAAATCATACACTTGGCAAGCAAAGTGGGCCCAAGAAGGGCTCATCTGATTTTCTTTCTCAAAAGAAGGCTGATTTGAAAAAGCCAACAAAGATAAAAAAAAGTTCAAGTTCCAAAGCATGGCACTCCTTGGCCCTGCTTTAGAAAGCAGAATATCTGTAACACAAAGGTCTTTTGTGAAAGCTCAGTTCAAAATTCTACTGCTTTGTTAGGTCCCATGATCATTCGTTTGACAAATATTTACTCTGGGTTTATATACAGTCGCTGCTTTTTGTGGAGACACCAGGAAAGCCTCAGCTGAGTAAGAACATGCATGGCACTGCAAGTGCGTGCATGTGATGCGCACTGTGTATGTGTTGTTGGTGGATGGAGAGAAAAAGGCAATGCTGACTGGGTAGTCTGTTTCTCCAATCCCACTCCTTTGGTAACTTCTAGTTATGGCCCTGTTTCACAGTATTTTGAAATGTTTCTGCTGCTACCTCTATTTATTCCTTAAAGTTACAAAGAAATTCTCCCCAAGATTTCAAAGCAGATGGTCCCTCTAAATTAACTTTATTAAATGGACCAAAATGCCCTAGTATCTGTTAAAACGTTGTAGGCTTGCCAGGTAGTTCATTTATGGTCCAGTTGTAACAACCTGTCTTCCCCAAGGAATTGGGTCAGCTACAAAGTGGAGGACATAAGCCTCTGAGAAAGAGGACACTGGAAATTTTGGAATACAGGTTCCACCCACTCTCAGGCTCTCTGCTTTTCCTTCATGGATCTGCCACAACCAAACTCCCCGATATGCATAAACTTTTTCAGGATACCCTTGCTCTCTCCTGTATTTGAATTTCCTGGGTTTCCCTGGTGGAAGGAAGAATGTCTTGGAGATCTGTGATGACTCCTTCCTAAAGCAAAGACACTGTGGAAGTGAGACAGAGCACCTACGGACCTCCCCCACTCTGTTCCTTTGCAGAGGGACCTCTGTTCCTCCCCAAGGAACACAACCTGCTGCCCTGGCCTCGCACATCTCCTGGGACCAGCAGAGCCAAACTGCCTTCTTGCTTTGGTCTAATTTAACCTCATTCTCTCATCAATCCCCTCTTGGACTCACCTACTCAAGAGCCTCTCTCTTCTCAGTCTGTTCCAATTATTTTAAACCTCAGACCTAATCCTGATCACAGATGACATTAATGAGCAATGCACCACAGGGCAGCACCTCCAAACAAGTTCTACTGAGAAACTGCAGAAAAATCTCTGTCATTTCTGAATTTGCTGGGGTTTTTTTTTTTTTTTTTTTTAAGCTTGGGCGTTATTTACAAAGAAAAAAATTGTTTTCATTCAGTTGTGTTTACTGGCTGATAATTCACCATCTATTTTTCCCTTGCAAATATACAAAACCAATGATAATGTCTGATATTATTTTCTACTATTTTCCATCCACATATTCAGCTGCATGATATACAAAATAAACTTTTAATGGTAAGCTATACGACCTGGTCTCCTTCATAAATAACCTTCTTTTGGGGAAAACATGCTGAGCTCATCATCTGACAATTCTTCGTTTCAGTGAATTACGTCTGATCGCTGTCCCATTTTCTTCTCCTATCTGATTTTATTGAGAATCAGTGGGACAGGGTCGGGAAGAGACGGGGACAGAGAACACTGGGTTGAGAGTGCAAGCCCACTACTGCTGCCCAAGACACATTCGAACCCAGAACTGTAAGGGACGGTTAGTGCAGTATTTTCAACCAAATGTGACGCCTACAGGCCAACAGTCTGTGCAGAAAATATGACTGTGAGGACGGCGTGTTTTCTTCTTCACTGGGTTGCAGCATCATAGCAGTGCCCTTGTCTCAAAGCACTTTATTCCTTTTGCAAAATTCTTATGTTACCTTATTGATCCAAGTCACTAACCACCAATTTCCTTAACCCTTTCTATTAAAGCCACCCTTCTACTTGCTATAGGTTTGCTTCTTGTCTCTATAATCCATCCACACTTCCTTTTCCCTGGAACACCTCAAACTTAAAGGCCCATATGATACGAGTTCTGCAGACCTGACTTTTATTACAACCATGTCCTGTGAAAAGTTAACTCCAACAGATCATTACTCTGACCAGGTGCATGCTTTCTAGACTTTGTGGGTTCTAATTTGTTATCTTTATACTGTAAGTTACAAACAGTAACTGTTCTTTTCTGTGGTTTAATTCTGGGCTGATAAAGTTTTAGAGCTTGCTCTACCCATTTCATTCTTTCCAGCATAACCTTCCACAACCAGAATGGGAGTCAGCAAGTGAGAGAAGACCTCAAGAGGGCGTCCCTCATTGCGGTTAAGGTAGCACCAGGAGTTAATGTGTAAAAGGAGCCTGAGGAGGAAGACTGAGATCAGAAAGTCAAGGAAGGAGAGCACGGGGGATAAGCAGCAGCCTTCGGCTCTGCCACTAACTCCCACGTGATTCTGGGTGACCAGCCTTTTTCCTAAACTCAGTTCTCACATCCATACCATTGGCTACCTGCTCTTCTGTCCAAGACTCCTTCTGGCTCCAAAATTCCATGATTCTATTTTCCCATACCCCTAGTTTTCTCCTGACCTTGCCCAACATCCTCCACTTCCCTGGCAAGGCTCACTGTCAGCTGGTCAGAAATTTAGCACAATCAACATTTACAGAGCACCCAAGATGTACAAAGCACTATGAGGAACATAAATAGATGTGACTGTGCCTCCCCCAAAGAGTAGCTAAAAAGATGAGCAGAAATGTGCACAAGTGACAAAAGTAGGGACTATAGAGGAGAACACGAGGATAAGTGGAAATGGCTGATGAGCTCAGGGGGAGAAGGGAGGCTGGTGCCCACACCATGGTGGGGGGTCCTGCTGGTGCTAGAGGGAGGGAGCAGAGAAGGAGACACACTGGTAAGGATGGGGAGAGGCAGCCCTGCTTCTCTGCTGACCAGGCCAATGGACAGTGCCCTCTGTCTTGCTGTGCCCACCTTCAGTTCCTCAGGAGATTGCTTCTCTCCCTGTGGCTTCCCTGTATCCGGCACGGCTGTCAGGAACAGGAACTCCTGCTTGGCGCTGTAGGCTAGGAGACAGAGAGGTTGAGACGCCTTTCACAGAGGAGCAGACACACAGGTCAATGTGACATAAAAGACGCCCCAGAAGCAAACCTACACAAATACACCCAACTAGCTAGCATCTGACAGGTGCAAAAGCACTTTCACAGAGGAGGAAAGTCTTTTCAGCAAGTGGTATTCGAGCAATTGTGCATCTATGGACACATAGGGCTGTAAAACTTTCTTTAAAACATGGGAGAAAGTCTTTGGAAAAATTGATAAATAAACCTCAAAACAAAAGTCACATACCTGACAAAGGAGTAGTACCTAGAATACATAAAGAACTCTCAAAACTCAAAGTAAAAAAACATCCAAATAGAAAGTGGGGAACAGATGTTTCACCAAAGACGATACACAGATGGAAAATAAACACCTGAAAAGATGTTCAACATCATGAGCCATCAGGCAAATACAAATTAAAACCACAGTGAATTGATAAGAGTATGGGGCAAAAGCAGGTTTACAGTTGTTTGTATGGAAAATGATATAACAGTTAATAAATAATAGCACAAGAATAAACTGTTTTGTGTACTTACAACTGTAAGCCTATTTTGCTACACCCTATAGCTACAGAATAGTCACAAAGATATAAAGTATAATATAGGGAATAGAGTCAATAATATTGTGGTAACTGTGTATAGTGTCAGAGGAGCATTAGATTTATTGGGGTGATCACTTACGTAAGATATAAATGTCTGAACATGGGGTTGTACAACTGAAACAAATATGATTGTATGTCAGCTATAATTGGGGAAAAAAAAACCCTCAAAAAAAAAAACACAAACACTCCACAGTAAGATACCATTTTACTACTATCAAAATGGCTAAAATACAAAGTAGTCAAAATACAAAATGCTAGCAATGATGCAGAGAAAATGAATCACTTATATATTATACATGGCTGGTGGGAATGTAAAATGGTGTAACAGTTTGGTCATTTCTTTAAAAACTAAGCATGCAACTACCATATGACCCAGCAACAGCACTCCCAGGCAGTTACCCCAGAGAAATGAGAATTTATGTTCACCGAAAGCCCCATACAAGAATGCGTGGAGCAGCTTCCTTTGTAATACCCTCAAATTGGAAACAATCCTTCAACAGGTGAATGCTTAAACAAATGGGTACATCCACCTTGGAATACAACTTGGAATACAGCAATAAAAAGGATACCCTTCATTCATTTCATGGGCATGCCTAACAATGAACTATGTTCTAACTGGAGCTTAGGAGTTATTTTAGATATCGGAGTGTAGCTTTATTACAGATGGATTTTATCTTTAAACACTGCATTTTGATCAACTTTGTATATTCACATGTATTAAAATATTGTGCACTAAATGTTTTGCCCTTGTTTGCTCTCCTATGGTCGAGGCATTTTTCAGCACTATTGTGATTCACTCATGTAAATGGCATGGGTCAGGGAAGGCTATTTCCTACTTTTCTACCTAATTAAATTTCTGTTTTTCAGTATTACATTAAAAAAAAAGCAACAAACTACTGATACACTAAAGTTGGATGAATCCCAACTTTATGCTGGGCTTTTTTTATGCTGAGTAATAAAGGCAACCCCAAAAGGCCTCATACTAGATACAAAATTTTTCTCATTTCATTTTTAAAAATTTAAAAATTTTTTCAATTACACTTGACATTTAATATTATATTAGCTTCTTGTATGCAGCATGGTGTTCAGACATATATATATAACTTGTGAAGTGATTCCCCTGATAAGTCTTGTAACCCATCTGGCACTATACACAGCCATGTTATTGACTATATTCTCTATGCCGTACTTTACATCCCCATGACTATTTTGTAACTACCAACTCGTACTTCTTAATCCCTTCACTTTTTCACCCAGCCCCCTAAACTCCCTCCCATTATAATATTCTTAAAATGACAAAATGATGGGGAGGAGAAGAGATTAGTGGTTATCAGGGAAGAGGAGGTGGGTGTGGCTATAAAAGGGCAACAGGAGGAATTCCTGCCGTGATGCAGTGTTCTGCATCTTGACTGTATTAATGTCAAAATCCTGCTCATGACTCCGCGGCATAGTTCTGCAAGATGTTACCACTGGAGGAAACTGAGTTAAGGGACATAGAACTCACTCTGTTATTTGTTACAACAGCATGTGACTCTATAATGATCCCCAAATAAAATTTAAAACTTTAAAAAAGCCAAGTTAGCAGTCATGTTAGTGCTTACATATTAATTTAAAAATTCATGGAAACTAAGATGAGAGTAGAGAAATCTTACAAAATGCTAGTCCAAAATAATAATTTATAGCAGACTGATTTTGGGAAGGCTTTGGGGCAAAATCTGAAGAAAATTTTCAGATCTCTACAATCAAGCATTTACTTTCAAAGCTTTGCAAAGATACGTAACTTGAAAGAAAAAACATGTAGCAAATAAAAGCATAAAAATCAGGATAACAAAGCTCGAAGAAAGGCACAGTTCTCTTTTTTAAAAAAAATCAAAACCCAGCCCCCTTAGGTCATTAATACCAACACTGCATATTCTACTACAGCCCCCAGCAGTCCCAGTCTTCACGGCCCCTTCCCAGCCAGCGCTGCCATGAGTAAGCACCTGCAGCCTGATGCTGTCCCTGCAGAGGATGAGAACATCTTACCATTGCCATGACAATAATCCCATGTCCCACAGCTTTGAGTTATTTGACTCCAATAAAAATCTCTCTACCACACACCTTTATGAAAATCCCACTAAAATCTTTTATCCATTTTCTAGATTTGGAGTAAAATGTAACCTAACCGAAGCTGTACACAGGAGCTGACTTACACCTCCAATAAGGCAAGAGAGTGTTACATTTATGGTGCAAAACTAGACAAAAGCATCAGTGCCATCAGCTCAGAGCTGCTGAATGCACTCTGGGGGCTCTGAGACCACCATCTGTTCATCCTCCTCCTGCACAATCTTACCATCTTTGCGCACTAACGTGCTAAATAAAAAAGTCACGTTGTACTCTGGTCACTTCCTGTTTCCACAGTTCTCTTCTACTATTAGCACTGCAATGTTTAGCTAGTTCAACACTTAGTTCAGCAGGTTTCGTAGAAATCTAAGCTTCCTTAATAACATTTTAAGAGTAAGACAATGTATCCTGAATTCTAAACAACTGACTTATCAATGAATTTTTAAAAAGCAACCTATTTCATACACTAAAAAGCACAGAGAATAGGCTTCATAGCTGTGGAACAGTTCATATACTGGCCAGTCGTTGTCAATTTTTAATATTTTTATGAGTTTAAACTTCTTGGTTTCTGCTCCCTGACTCCCCTTGGCCCTGATTTGACTAGAATGAAATAAAACTGACAGCACAATTTACGTTTGGTTTGGCTTTTCCAATGCTTTGCCAAAAACCATTTATTTTCAGCAGATGCCACTATCCCCACTATAACCAAAGACTGGCTCTTTCCCGCCCCCCGCCCCCCAACCCTCTGGAATGACTCCAGCTGCAAGACCAAGGATTCCAATCCTCCAGGTACAGCCAGGTGCCCTCATAATGTATCCGCTCACTTTTGTTATAAGTCTCATTATATTTATATATTTTTGTTATAGGTCTCATTATATTTATACACAATGTTTTACAAAATGTCTTTAAAGTTGTCAAGTGATCTTCTGCTTTGTTTTCCTAGAAGGGATCGCATGCACTCATCTCCCTGACCACCCTGCACCCAGGCGCCCAGTGTCACCACTCCCATCACACACTGGGCAGAGGACCTGCAACGACAGCCAAGTCACTGGCTCTGCCGTAAGCAGCTAAAATTAGGTTGAAGGGCTAAGTGGAGGCAAACGATGAGAAGTCAAACAGAAGTGAGTGGAAAAATGTGTCTACATTTATGCACCAGGTGCACAAGGGAGTCATTTTTTATATCAAGTCTCAATGTCCCAAGACACGAAATTCCCATCACTGAATGGGATTTATTTCCCTATAATAAAGCTAGTTATTGCACTCGGTCCTAGTTCAACATGCCATTGGAATTTGTTAACCAAGGATAAGTTATTGCCACAAATATCTCCATAGCTTCATTGCTGAGCTGAATAAAGGCCTGAACGCTATTTTAAAAACAAAAAACAAACAACCCCCCCCCCCACCCACCCACACCACCAACAAGGTAAGTGTTGCTTTAAATAGCAGTTCAGTTCAGGACAAATCTCTTCCTATCAGCCTAACTAGTAGAGAAACCATTAGGAACAGGCAGGTGAGAACACAAACATCCACTAAACAATTCTAGAACGGAGCCCATTTCCCAGAGGACAGAGCCAGAAGGAGCAGCCAACACACACCTGCGTTACAACCGGCCCCTCAATGCTGGGACCAAGAATTCACTGTCTGCTTTATAGGAAGTGGACCTTCATCACATATGATACCTGCTGTGTTGTTAGTTATTTCCTTGTGATGACAGGAAATAGGCTTTTGGTTCAAAAGCTAAAAATACCATGAACGCCAATGAAATAAGTTCTAACAAATGAGAAAATCTCTTGCAGACATAAAGTTCACAAAGCTCTTTCAGTTCCTGTTCGGTTCCAAGATCCACCAGGGGTTTTAAGCGCCTATTCAGTCTGTTAAGTGTCAGGCTGAGATTATTAAGGCTAAGTGACCATTCCCACTAAACCCAGGACTCAGGAGCAGGTGGTGTCTGAGCTCTCTCCACCCAAGGTCTTTTCTGAAGGCCTTCAGGGCCTGAGTGTTTAACTTCACTAGGGAGCTCAATCATCCAAACTGACCCTGCAAGTGAGGTCACTGCTTTCATTCACAACTCAGCCAATGGACATCCACCCTTGTGATTCTAGTCAGGTACTCAGGACAGTTAGGAAAGATCCTCTGTGGTCAAGACAAACTGACCTTTGTTGTGGGCCCAGGAACAAAGCGTTCTCACTCTGGACTCAGTGCACACCGTGGGGCTGACACCACCCTCACTGGTGCTCCTCCCTTGCAGGGTCCTGTCCATTCTTCCCTGAGTGGGAAAGGGGGAGTGAGGCCAAGTGTGCACTGGCTCCAAAGTTCTCACTTGGAGTGGTCCACACCTCTGCGTTCCCGTCCACTGACCACAGCAACACACGGCCTCACAGAACATCAAAGGGAATGAGGAGCTACCACTCATCTTAAAGGGCTAGAGATATTTGGTGAGCAGCACAGAGGACTACCATAGATCTTTTCTCAGGTCTAAAATCCCAAAGCATCACATAAACTCAATAAAAATTTTTAAAAATAAAATCACAAAGCTTTTCATCCTTCTCTGTGGGCTTTCCTTTCTTTCCCTCTAAATTTTTGCTTGTCTTTACAAAACCCTCTAAGCTCCTATACTTTTCTGAAAACATTCAGCATAAAACTTGACGCATCAAAGTAGAATGACACCTCATTTATCAGTGACCACTGAGGAATGAGGTGTTCTTTCAAGGATCCAGAGAATAGTAGAATTTGAAACACACATCTAATTTTTTTTGGTGGAAGTCTCATAAATATATTACCTATTCTCCTACTTTAAAAAATAAACCATAAACAATTTAACCTCATGACCTGCCCTGTAAGTGCCTTTCTTACCAAGTGACATTTAAAGGAATCACAAGTAAAATGCGTGGACCCTTAGCGACACGGATTTCCTCTTCTCAGCGGCTCTGATTCTCATTCAACTTCCCAGCTTTGTTCTACACCTGGGGTTTTCCACCGGGCCACACTCCTAGATTCATATTCACTTGGTCTCTGGTCGGCACCAAGAAGCAAAGGTTTACCAAGTCCCCCTATATTCTGAGGTGCCAGGGAGAGAACCACAGCTCTAACACTTAACAAAGGGTCTCCATTCTCGGTAACATGGAACCATGCTAGAGCAGCAGAAGCAACATCCAAACTATCAGGCTGAGATCATCATCTCAAATTCCAACAAGGCTCCAAGACTGAGCCATTGCTGTTCTGACAGAGGCTCCAGTCCACAGGGTGAGCCATGATTATATGTGATGCTCCTGGCCACCCGGGATGCCTGCAGGTGTGACACTTCCTTCCTGAGAATGTGGAACCCTCAGGTTCTCATGAGCGCCCCTGGAAGGTGAGGGGTGACTTGTGATGATAGCCCATTGGAGCCCCAAGTGCTGAGGGCCTAATAACTGTTGGTAAGTGGAAACTGCGGCACTGAGAACTACCCCTTGGGGCTGATTCCAGGGCTACCCTCTTCTGCCTGCAGATCTTCCTCCAACCTTGTTGTTCCTGGATAGACAAGGAGACACAGAGACTGGGAGCAGGAGATGTGGGGCACCGGGCAGCCCTCAGTACCACAGGGGCACAGTCAGGATCTCTAGGCAGAGCAGGGTCTGTAGCTTTTTCTGGTCACAGGAACAGCACAAGCTATGCAGCCACCAGGGGGGAAATGGGGGAACAGCTCGTGTGGATACTTTTTTAATCTCCTTTCCTAAGGGCCACCATCTGCAAGAGGATGTGTGAAGTGTCATGCAAAGTAAGGATGCTGAGCACACCCATGGGCTCTGACATGGTCCTTGTTAGGCAGACCTCGTCGGGCCAGACTATCAGGCTCCTAAGCTCGCAATGTCTCCCCTGTGCCTCCCCCTACTCTGCCTCTGAAGGGAGTCTCTTTGGAATTCAAGACAACCATCACTGCACCTCTGTGCACGTAGCCAGCACCTCATGGATCACTCAGAGAGCCTTGCTGTGCTCAGGTCAGTTTTAGAGGCTGTCAGAGCAGGTGGCATGTCAGTTTGGTAGAAAAAACACTAAGGTAAGCAAAAGACAAGAGCATGACCTAGAAGCAGCTCTGCTGAGGCTGGGCTTGGTGTCTTTCTGGGTCTTTATGTGACTGCCCAAATCAAGTCCAGGGGAGTTAAAAATCTTCAAAGACAAGTGAATATTCACATATTTAAATCACCTTCTTTCTGATGTACTCAAGACAACTTTCAAACATGTGGCCACCAGTGCGCAGCACCACCTGGCACTCAGGCACGCTGATCAATCACAGTAGTCGCTCATGATGACACCAAGCAGAACAAAGTGATCCTGAACCTGTGGGATGCCATGGAGGAGACACCAAAGAACCCACAAGAAAGCATGTTCTGCCTGCCCTCAGGGCAGTGCTGGGGAGACCCCCCTCTCCCATTCCACCTCCCACCTGCACCTCTGCAACGTCAAGGATTTGGATGTCAGGACCTCCACGTTCTCTTCTGGAATGAAAATCCTTGGGTTCTGTGACAGAGGTCATCTGCGCATGCACCCAGGAACAACATCACAGCAAGGTCTGGCTCTAGCCAAAATTAATTCCACAAGGTAGCATACCTACCATCCGGGTCTTTAAAGGTCAAGGTGATGAATTTACTGGCCACCATGAACATGAAAATCACCCAAAAGCATGCGGCCAACAGAAGCCACTGGTGGTGCATGTTGTCAAAAGTCAGCCATTCAGTGATTTTCCTGAAAAACACAAGCAAAATGCTCCTGCTGCTTACAAATACATCAATTAAACAAAAGGTAATAAAAAGAACAGGTGATTTCAGTTAATAGCATCAATACAAATATTTTTTAAAATTTTTTATTGATACAATGGGTATTTTGATTCAGTATTTAACTTAACATTTTATTTTTAACTAACAATAACTTCTTGATTTGATAATTAAGTCAAAGTTAAAACACCTGAATGGAAAGGAGCCCTATCTATCTGTTTTAGAATGCATGATGAAATTTTACTTTTGCAGATTTGCCTCTTGGTTGCTTTCTGCACTAGGCTAATATCAAAATGTGTTTTTTTTTACCCAGTGCCCACCAGGGCCTGGAAGCAGATAGGCAAGAGGAATCCTGCCAAGGAGAGACCTTTGCAGAGACAGAAGCCATACTGAGCAATTACAAGCAGGCTGTTTAGAATCCTGACTTGCTGACAAGATGTAACCACACCTAGAGAATCTGTACACAGGGGGAATGAACGTCAAAACTTCTCCATCTCCATTCACTTGCCTGCAAGGGCCTGTGCAGAACCTGGGGGGTGGGTGTTTTTCATGCTTTCACTGCCTCGGAGAGATGCAGGTCACAACAAGTCACACTCTGCTGCAGGAGACATAGAAAGAACCAGGAAGTCACAGTCAGTTCGCAGCAAGAGAGACAAAAATGTGTTTTCATTTCATCTTTAACACAGTGCTTCTTCAAGCCAAACCAAACCACTTAAATAGACCATGCTGGTTCATTTTTACCAGAAAGCTAAGGCCATCCATCACTCACGGGCGGTGGGGAGAACTGGTCCTCTCAACGTGTGCTGATGGCAAATGACTTCAGAGTTTCTGAATGCTAGACGGGACAGAGCTCAGTGAGGACCCAGGCGAACAACTCTCCTCATCTCAAAAATGTTCACTTCCTAGACTCTCACTGTAACCAGGCACTGAAACCCAAATGCCCTCCACTAAGTGGTTACCCGGCCTACACCTGAACAGACCCTGCGGCGGGCAGCTCACTGCCTTTCCAGGGTGGCTTGTGTGTCACCCTCTGTCATCCTCAACTGCCCACACACGAGGCCCAGTGTGCTTCCTGGGGTCCCCAAGTAGGGGCTGGATTAAACAGATTAAACAAACAAACGCAGGATACCCAGTTAAGTTTGAATTTCAGAGGAACAACAAATAACCTTTTTAGTATAAGTATGTCCCAAATATTACATGGGACATACACTAAAAAAAGCTATTTGCTGACTCTCTGAATTTCAAATTTAACTGGGCATCCTGTGTTTTATTTGGCAATACTACCCAACAAGGGGGATGCCAGTTCCTCTCTGCCTGCTTGAAACCAGCTGGCCTGTCCAAGCGAGTCTCCCTTTCTCCTCCGTCATCATCCTTTCCGGCAGCACTGCACGAGGTGGCAAGACCTGGACGGTTCTACCACTCGCTGGCTCTGTGACTTAGAAGGTGCCTTGGTCTCTCTGAGTCTTGGTTTCCCACCTCTGAGATCAGGTCTTCCTTCGAGGGTGGTCACAGGAATTAAATAAGAAAATGTACATAAAGGACCAGTACCCGCCCGGCCTGGAGCAGACCCTCTACAAACATAAACTGGTCGACGCCTCAGCACCCTAAGAGTTTCTGATTTAATCTACATATATCCTCCTAAGTGTAGTGGTCAAAAATTAATGTGACAGGGTGGTCTACCCCAAGAAGACAGACAAAGGAAGGCCAGACTCATCCCAGGCAACTCAAGCTACTAACCTTTCCCTTCTAAAGATAGATGAGGCACAGACAGTGCCCAGAGGTGCTGGGTGCCACAGTCCTGACTCCCATAACTTGTCCCTCCCAGACAGTGACACTCAGTGAGATCTAACCCAACAGGTCATAGTGTAAATACCCTACTGAGAAACCTCAGCTGTAGGCCTCTTCTAAGAGAGGCAGAGGGGCCAATGTGGGTTGGGGAGTGAGTACTGAGAAAGGAGACAGGTATTCAGCAGGTGGTTTGCAAACTGAACAGAGAGACCCTCTGCTCCTGTGCTCTAGTTCTCAAGGAGATTTAGGTGCAGGGAAGAGGGGCCGGTGCTCACTGGCCTGCAGACTGCAATCCACGCTTTACTAAGTGCTGTGGACAGTGAACACAGATAGGGGAACCCCCTCACACACCGACACACCTCCACTGCAGAGCAGGGAGCCAGTGAACCTCTGCACTGCCCTCTCCCAGCCTTTTGCTCTGCTCATACCTGAGACCGCCTCGATTTCAGGCCCTGAGCACCCTCCTTGCATCAGGCCTGTCCCTGGGAGGTTTTTATGGTTTTAACTTTCCAATGGGAACTAGTTTTCTGAAGGGATCTAACGAGTCCACTCACTGAGCTCACCTCTAGATAAAAGTAGGGAAATAATGAATAAACAACTTTACATGAAAATGAAGACCACAACATCCGCTTTCTAGGAAGCCAGGCGCCTTAGGAGTAGTATTTCTACATCTGGGCTAGTCAGAAAGTGACACTCGCACTATCTTGAAGCCATGTCCACATTCCCAAGTCTTGGATTTTCATTTAAAATCAGGAGCACCTTGCTTTTCTCACCCAGGCTTGGGGCAGGGGCAGGATTTGGTCCTCTCTCTTCCTCCCCAAGCTGGATGGATGGGGGTTAGCACATGAATAGTTCTCTAGGCCCCAATTTTCCCACCTATAAAGGAGGGTAAAACAGCTACCTGCATACTTAACAGTGCGCTATGAGTCCCCTGTGAGATAGTCTACCAAAGTACCTCCTCAACAACTCTTATCATCCAATGTTTTCTTTCAGATGGGCATTTTATTTCAAAATAGTTCAACTTCTAAAATTACTTCTGTTAAGATATCTAGAGCACCCTGCCCCCTTCCAAGCCCGCCATGGCATCAAGGTTGGGAGGAGGAGGCTGCAAGGCTCCCACCTTCCCCTCAACCCCTCATGGCCCACCTGGACCGTGAAGGGAAGGTGCTCAGGACACATCGGGACTCTGCTGGGGCTGCAGATTTGGAAAGCTTGACATGTATAAATTATAGCCCCTGTCGAAAACCTTCTTGAGAAGTATACAGTCATGGGCCCTGACCAGCGTCTTCAGTGGAGCCATCCAGACCAGGCTGAGGCCTGCTGGAGGTCCCTGGCAGGCCACAGGATGTAGGCTTATGCAGAGAGTGCGTACTCTCTTCAAGACACTGGACTTCTGTACATTCGAGGTCAACCGAGCCTGCTCCTATCCTGATGCACAGCAGAGCAAGACTCAGCTCTTCCCATCACGACCATACTGGACCTCCCCAAAGCCTCTCTCCAACACCTCACCTTGTTTCTCTTCCTTCACTATACCTATCACAGCTTGAATGCATTCTCTGGTTCACCAGCTAATTCTCCCAATAAAATGTAAGCCAGGACTGGAGCAATGCTGGCACACTGCGAGCCAACCATCGTTTGCTGAATGACGACATCACCCAAGAAACTTACTAGGAAAACTTAGGAGAGTTGGAAGGCACTTTAACAGACACCTTGCCCAACTTTCTACCCCAAGAGTTTCCAAACTAATTCTTTAAATATGAGGCCTCTTTTCAACCTCAAAATATTCTTCCAGTCTCCACATAACAGCAGTTGCATATTTAATATCCATTAACTGAGACTAGAAAACAAAGCTGCTAGGGCTTCAGTATTACTTGAAAATAAAATTATATTTTGTAAGTCATGGCACTTATACGCATTTGACTAGATACAACTTAAAACATACAGAATGGGGGGATTAATAAATCCTGCTGAAGTCCAAACAAAATTTTTTTAATTTTTCAATAAAACTGTACACTAAAAGGCACATCAATGACACACATACAAATTGTCAACACAGATCAGTAAACAAAAAAAAGTTGCAGAACTGAATGCATGAACCTATTTGTTAACAAATTACATGTGTGAATGTATGTGATTATAAATACATGCAAACACACATACATGTGGTGCATAGAATAAAATTTTGAGAGAATGAGTGGAGTCATTTTTTGCTTTGTACAATTTTGTATTTTAAAAACATTTTTTGCAATAAGCATGTATCCACTTAATAAAAATCAATAAAGTATAGAAAATACCACCTATGTACATGGACCCTGCTATTTTTATTTCTGTGGTTTAATTTTTTTTCTGCCTTACTGCACTCAATGAAGTTTCCTTAGCACTTTGTAAGGCAAGGGACGGGATGGTAAATACTTTCCTAGTTGGGAAAAAACAGATATAAAGTGACAAAGTCAATATGTATCTGAATATTTAGTAAATGCATCTCCATCTTCATTACTTTTTAGTCTTCAAAATGATTTAGTATTTTAAATATAAAGTACAGAGGATAATATAACAAACGCTCTTATAGTTTTGCTGTACTTGAGTTCTTCTTAAAAGGAAATAAAGTGTACAAGTAAGGTTGGCATCCCTCCATGCCTGTTCCTGGCCCTGATCCCTTCTCTCTCCAGAGCGATCCCTGTCTGGGCAGTTCCACTTTCACCACATCAGACACAGCTCCTCTTATAGAAGCAGCAGCCGGGGCTTAGGAAGGAGGTGTTCCCTGCCCAGATGGGTGCAGGGCAGTCTGGGAAGGCAGGAAGGCGAGTTAGCCTGGGGCCTGCAAGGAAATACTGCACTATGTGAGGATGCTTGCATTATGTACGAGAACACAAGCCAGTGGTAGAGCTCAGCACAGGGAGATGCACTTCTTTTCCTTCTCACAGTGTAACAAGACAATTCACAAGTTATTTATAGACTCAAGGGAAAAAACTGTCAAAGTAAGCTGGTTAAAAATTTAGAAAATACAATTAAAAATGAACTATTACAAAATAATAAAAAAATTTAGATAAACTGGGACTTGTTTTCCAAGTGGCATGCTACGTGAGCCAACCAGAATCAGTAAGAAGAATGCCTGATCCATCTCAAACTACACCCCTCCCTAGGCCCCATGTCTCTACAGTTTACAACATATGATGACAAACAGGAATAAATATACACTTGCATATACTTTTAAGGACACAACCTAAAAATAATTATATTTAAGATTATCTCATAAGGTGTATCCATCCATCCAACAGAACAGGTGCAGGGATACAACACTGAGTTCCAAACCAAAATACACACACTGTTCATGTCTTTATGGAGCTTGCAGTCTGATGAAGAGACCCACCTGCATTCAAGAATCCATCCACGAAGGGGTAGGAAGCAGAGGGATGTGGTGCTGTGAGAGGACAATACAAGAGGACATGACCTGGGTAGAGAGGTCAGGGACAGCACAATTACCTAAGGAGGTGAAGGGGCAGGGTTCCAGGACAGGGGAACAGCATGGAACATAGGCCCAGGAGTAGGAAGCGGCAAGCTGGGGCCCCTTTAAGTAGCTGAAGGAAGGCTGTGTGGCTGGTTTCCAGAGCTTGGTTAGAGATGAGCCTAACCAGATGTGGTCAGAGAACACTGGGCCTTAGAGAGCTGTTACAGCATTTGGTTTCCACCTTGTGAGCAATGGAGCGCCAATGGAAGGAGTTTTACATGAGAAGAGGCGTGGCAGTGTGGTGATCCTACCTAAATTTTGAAACCCTTTTACTGGCAGCACAGTCTAAGGTGTTACATGCAACTGTCCACTCGGCCACTCCCCAGTCTCAAGGCCACTTCCATCGATGAAGCAGGAATATTCTAACCAGGCACAAGCAATCCCAGCTAAGTGTTCCACACCACACACATCATCCAGGTCCCTAAAACCAGCAAATGAATCAATGAGATCCACAATATGTGATGGGTTAGATTTTTATGAATTCTAAAGAGTGCTATGTCCAGTTAGCCATGCATGTTTTTGCTTTGTGATTACATGCATTCTGAATCCAGATGCTGTATTTTGTTGTGTACAATGTGCACTTTTTTACCCAAATTTTTGAGGGAAAAATAAAGATGCATGTTATACATGGATGGGTAGTACTAATTCTGTTATCTATATAAATGTTTTTAATTATTTTATTTGTTTATGCATTAAAAGTGTAACTCTAGAAAGCAATAAAGAGATCCATATGCAAAATAATACCCTGGAATACGATAATCAGATTTATATATAAATAAAAAATTGAATTAAAAAAATTAAAACAAAAGATTTTTTTTTCTCTGAAAGTTTGGGCCAAAAACGTAGGTGTGCGTTATACATGGCAAAACACGGGTATCTACCCAATGGTGTCTGAATTTATGTTTATGGCAGTGGTGCCCAACCCTGGCTGTACATTAGAATCACCTGGGAGGCTTTAAAAATATATAGCAATGCCTGCGACCCCAGGATCACTGGGGCCAAGACAAGACAAATCTTTGAAGACAGATTCTGGGCAGGTATTAAAAGTTCTGCCCAGGACTCTAATGAGTAGCCAGAACCTACACCTGCTGTTCCAGGCCCTAGCCCCTCTCAAATTTTAATGACCAAAGGAATCCCCTGGGGAATCTTGTTACAATGCAGAATCCAGGCATTCTAACAAAATAGACATTTTCCTATCATTTCTTTCTATTATTAAAAGGAAAATTGATAGCAAAAGGGTTTCTGTCAACTAGAGTCTATTGAAGATCTGAATTATATCAGAGCTCTGAAAAAAAAAAAGCTGGAAGACGTTTAATTAGAATCAAAGACCTCTATCACTGTCCCTATTTACCCTTTCTTCCAGCCCTCCCATCTATAGGTAACTGACTCTGTAGAATTAGGGTTTGACCTTGAAACAATCCTGAGAATTTGACCCAGTTTTTTAAATAAAAAGAAAAGCATTCCAAAGTCCTTTGCCCCGGCTCCTCTAAACCTGCCCCACTGTCTCCATTGTTTCCTTGAATACACTTGCTCTCCATGGAGTTTGCCTCCTGTCCAAGGATGCCACCCACAAGTCTCATTATTTCTGTCTGCACAGAGACTGAGCCTGACATCAACAGTCCTTCTCAATGGCTCTGCCAAGGGCCTTGCAGCCGGGTGACAAATGGCCTTTAAAAAGCCTGACATTTTCTGTAATTAATTCTCCTCTGTTCAAGGAATCAAGACAACTCCCAAAGCGCCTCTTGCAGCTAATGATGGTAAACCTGAGTGTGCCCCAGGTCCCTTGCGGTCATGCTGTGCTGTCCTGAACAGAGCCCCCCAGACCCTACGGATTTAGCATATCCATCTTCAGGAGATTTTCATTACAGGAGATTTTCACATGTCAGGATGGTAGGACCTAAACCCAAGTCACAGAGTTGGGCTCTTTAAAACCCGTAAAGGCAGAACTGGTAGTTAAGGAACTTAAGACTTTGTGGGGAAAGCAGGGACAGGGAAGCAAGAACATAAATGAACATATAAGAAATCCTATTCTGTTTCTCTCCCTTTCTCTAAACTAAGAAAACACAAATCTTACATGTTGGTAATTAATAGCAATAGGTTTGGTACTATAGGCACACCTCAGAGGTCGTCTGGGTTCAGTTCCAGACCACCTTGATAAAGTGAGTATTACAATAAAGTGGGTCATAATCTTTCTGCCCATGGAGGGTCTTGCCTTCGAATTATAGAAAACACGTGTGAAGTGCAGTAAAGGAAAGCTGTCAGGAGCTGACCGACAGCTGACCCTTGACATAGTCGGGACGAATGAGGAGTGACTGCACAGCAGAAGCAGCCACGGCTGGGTCTCTCGGTCATCCCTCCTTGCATGCCTGCTATTGTTGGTGGTTGGGGTGGGGTTTTATGGCGCTTGTATTCTACTGCTAAAAACCCGCACAATTCCTCTGATACTTTCCAGAAAGAATTATTAATTGCAGAGCAAAAGCCCATGACACACCTGCTGCTTCTCACTTCCCCTGTCAGAAAAGTTATTAGACATTGGGCAGACCAGCTGCCAGAAAAGTGGAGAAAAGTTCTATTGAGAATTCCCCCTGGTGGGACGCCACCTCCCAGAATTATGGAGACCACTACCCCTCCTATACCCTGGGCAGGAGCATGGATTAATGGAGACGTGGGTGAAAAGGCCAGGGAAGTCAGTTAGGTATTATGATTTAAGTACTTGGGAACAAATACATAGAAATCCTCCTCTTTGTAGATGATCAGTCACTCTCTGATCATCTCATACTACATTGCAGAGCAGTCTTCTACACAGCTTGTTCTTTTGGTACATTTAGAATACTTGAAATCCAAATATTCTAGGCCCCAATTTTCCCACCTATAAAGGAGGGTAAAACAGCTACCTGCATACTTAACAGTGCGCTATGAGTCCCCTGTGAGATAGTCTACCAAAGTACCTCCTCAACCACTCATATCATCCAATGTTTTCTTTCAGATGGGCATTTTATTTCAAAATAGTTCAACTTCTAAAATTACTTCTGTTAAGATATCTAGGCTTAAAGCTAGATATCTTAAAGCTAAAGCCACTAGGGCTGCTGAACCCTCTATGACCTTGGTTGGTTCTAAAGACTGCGCAGAACACAGGGGCTGCACTTAAACAATACAGACGAGACATCAACTCTCTCCTCAAGACAGCTAGCCACTGAAGGCTTAAAAATAACCTTTATAGAATAACTGCCCTGTCTATTGAATTTTTCTTAACCTTTGTTAATTTTTGAGAATTACTGATAGACATTTTGTAGGAGGTAATATTCTGTACTTCTCGCTCTATTTGAATGTCTGAATAGCCCTCCTGGTCAGAATAACCTTTGCTTAGTACTATTATACCTGTAAACAATGGTACTTTTCCAATCAAAATAACTTTTACTAAAAATGATTATTTTTAAGTTTCCCTGTATTACACTGTACTATTTTTTGTAATAACCTTTGATGTAATCACGCCATGTATCAGTTCCTTATTTTATCCCTATAAAAATAAAGTTTCTGAGCTTACAGGCTGTCAGTCCAGACTCACAAGTCTGGCTGTACTCCCGCACCTCACCCTACTGTCTCCCTCTGTTTCTTCGCCGAGCCGTCTCTCCTTCGGGGACCCTGAGACCCACCGAGGCTGGACCCTGGCAAAAAGCACAATAAAAGGAGGTATGCCTGTATTACCATCTTTTTTTGGTGCAAATCCTCTGGCCCCTACATTTTCAAAATGATGCTTGGTTTGCTCAGCTGCCTATTACATTCTTGCCAGTGGCTTTCTTCCCTCAGTGTCTGAGTTGTCACCCAAAAGCACAAAGCCTTTCTGAATTTGTGCTGAAGAGCTTGACTCCCACCTGCCATGCTCCACCTTTTGCTATACACATGAGCTCATTAAAGGTTCTGAAAGGTGGTAAATAAGCCCATCTAACTGTTTAAAACCGCTTTTCCCCAAATGTCATCCATTCAACAATATTTACCAAGTGCCTACTCTAGGCCAGGAGTTTTTCTAGGTCCCAGAGATATGTAAGGCAATATATATATCCCTGCTCTTATGGTGCCTGGTGCTAGCAAAGGAAGATAGGCCCTGAAAAACAGAGCCATTAATGTATAGGATCACATAGGTGTGAGCCTATATACCTAACGCACAGGGCACTCAATGCCACTGATAGTAACAAAGAAGCAGAAGGGACAAAGGAAGGGCTCCTAGGAGGGCATGATGCTGAGAAGAGGCAGAACAGAGTAAGGAAACAAGTAACACTGCCACCTGGGTGAAGAGCTTGTTCTGGATCCCAGAATCCCAAGAGAGGCAAGGAGGCTCATGTCCCCCGTGGACTGAGGAAGAAGGGAAGAACATTTTTGGCCCCACTGAAGAATCCCGTCCCTTTACTGAGTGGCCCTTTACTGAGATGGAAACTCCTGTGTGCCTACCCCCATCACACACAAACCGCAGGGGGAAGATCATGTATTCAGTGTTCAGTTTTTTAAAATATTCTTCCAAAACATACCCAGACACTAAAGGAAATTTTATGAAAATAATCCAGTAATGGACAAGGAACTGGCAAACCCTGGGAGGGCTCACAGAAAGAAGGGAAGCTGGACGGCGAGGGCTGAAGTAACGGGGGACATTCTATAAACAAAGCAACCTTTTCGTCCTTTTTGAGTTTGAACTAAAATATATTATCTAATCAATGAAATTATTAAATCACAATTTAATAAAATAAAATATTGCATATGAATTCATAAAGTTCTGTTATGGTCACTGTGATTTTTAGATTCATAGTTAGGGTTTCTGTCAATCTAAGTTCAGCAATTTCCTTTGTCTACTTGACCATCATCATTACAATTTACCAACTGAGAGTGACTGATCTACAGTCACATCTGTCCTGAGTTAGGATACAGATGTGAGGTCACATCTGTCCTAACTCAGGATAGATGTGAGGTTAAGACAGATTCTCATGAATAATAATAATAAGCAAATAATAAGTAAATACCTGTGTAGGGCTCACTGCATGTCAGGCACTTCTCTTAGTAGGTACTAAACTCAACTAATCTCCAGCTCAGCCTATTATTATATGTAAGAAAACATTTCTTCTAAGTTTATGTGTACACACTCCTATTGAAGAGTTTTAATTTTCCTAAAATCTTCATATGAGCAAGAAAGGAGGCAGTAAAAACACTAGATGACAGGAATCTTAAGTAACTTGTGAGCTCACATTCTCCTCCACGTACCTTCTGAGGCCTGGGGGCAACATTTTCCTGTAGTATTTACTTGGCCTGAGGTTCTTGCTTCCTCTAACCTCTGTATAGGATAAATTAAAAAACCAATAAGCACCATTAAAACTGACAAGATCAACTTACTTAACACAACTTAGTTTATGCGTGGGAAGAGTTAACCACTTTAATTATTCAAGCACATTTTGCAGAACAGGTATCCTATAGAAGCGGGTAATATTTGGATTTCAAGTATTCTAAATGTACCAAAAGAACAAGCTGTTTAGAAGACTGCTCTGCAATGTAGTATGAGAAATTAAATATTTTGTAGCAAAAATAATCAAACTCTATTATACCTGTTTTATATGTTTGGTATCAGATAAAGAATTCCTGTGTAAGATGATCAAATCTTCCAACGCAAAGTATTCTCTGGGTTTTATATTTCTTCAAGCTTTTACTCCCAGGTAAATTCTAGCCAAATGTCATATCATGAATAAATAACGGGAAGTAAGTCAAACTCGTGGAACTAGAAAGATTGCAGATTTAATAGAATTATCTGGCAAAATAAACATACAACTAATTTAACACACAACACAGCCCAAGCTGCCTGGATGGAGACAGCACAGCCTAACTGTGTTTCCCTCTGCTCTTAAGAACTCAGTGTGAAAATTAAAAGCAATTTCATGTTACGAAGATCAGAAGATTAGGCTTTATGTACCCAGATTCTTCCAGACCTGTATCAGGAGAAAACACACTCTCTTGGCTTCTGCAATCTCTAGGGCCCTGCATTCACCTCCCTCCCTTTTTTCCCCTTCTGGCTCTCTCTCACCTTTTTACTGTATAACCTCAAGCATTTGGAAAAGGATCTGCCTATAACTACAAATAACCTAGGATATTCACTAATTCTTTTCTTTCTTTGTTCAGTTTTGTAAGCACTTCGGTTTTCACTCCAGGGAAGGGAAGAATTTTTCTCTAGGGTATTTCTTGGAGATTCTTTTCTTCAGGGTCAAAGCAAAGGTGGAAAAATTTTTCTTTCCATCTTAACCCACATGGACTATGCCTTCATTTTAAGAGGGAAAAGGGAAAAAGACCGTGTCTCTCTTTGTGTCTTTTCTCTTTTAAACCTGTCACTGGAAAAGGTTATGGGTAGGTGCTGGAAACCAGCAAGCAGGAGCTAAACTCAGCTGCCTAATTTTAAAAATGGCTGAGACATTTCTCACCCTGCCAGTTAAAACTGACCCATACCCAATTCTTTATGGCTCACAGCCCCAGACTTTGGGTGTTTCAGACAAAAACCCCTTTGTGACAGGGCTCCCGCTCAGCTAACCAAAACCTGGCCGCGCTGCTTTCTATTCACGGCCGGCCCCTTCTAGCAGACTTGGAAAACAGAAACAACAGCTTTGGAAAACCTGGTTCATCTTCCCAGCCAGAAGTGCAGAAATGTATGCCTCAACCTCAACTTCTGACAGGCCTCTGCGTTGTCAAAATCAGAGCCGAGAGCACTCTGGAGCCTTTCTGTCAGGAGACGTGCATCTGCAACCATCCCTTCCCGCTCACCCACCAAAACTGTACACTTAGAAAAGGCTGCACATGGTCCCTCTCGCCTGCATCTTTCTTGCACCCAAGGGGAACATTTTCTGTAATGGGGGAGCGGGGTACAATTTCCGACCCCAATTACAAATTTAGAATCTCGGCCAAGGATGAAAGAAGTAAATAACAGATCCCCGAATGTCCATAATTCCAGTGAGCACAGCATCCCCGGCGAGGACGCCGCCTCATTGCATAACTAACGGGAAGAAGGTTCTTCCCATTAATCCCGCCAACTAGGGAGGTCCTCCTGTCGCCAAACACACTGAGATGCTGCTCGCAAAGAAAAACCGGTACCCCCACCTCGGTCCTTCCGTCCACCCGGGTGGGGATGAGAGCCGGGGTGTGGGCATCTGTGGAACACACCCACCCCTGTTCAGCCCCAAGCTCACCCTCCGTGCATCCGAAGCCCTTCTGCGGCCCTGAGGGGAAGCTCGGCGCGGGCCTCGCACGCTTGGGGCCGAAGGGCGCGAGTCCCAGCGTCCGGGAGCCCGGGAGGCCCGCTCCGCGGAGGCTCCGTGCCGCCCACTGAGCCTGGGAAGAGGCAGCCGCGGCGCTAGAAGGAGGACGCCCGGCGTGCCAGGCCCTCTCGGGGGTGAGGCCACCACCCGCCGCGACTCGCGGCCCGCGGCCCCCCCCCCCCCCCCCCCCCCCGCTCGCCTTTACGCGTTGCCTGCAGGCTGTGCGTGTCCCCGCCTCCAACTCCGCCGTGCGCGTCCCTGCCTCCGTCCCACGTGCGCGTGCCGCCCCGGGGCGGGCAGGCTGGAAGAGGCCTGAGGTGGCGTAGGGAAGGGGCGTCGGGGAGGGGCGTCCGGGAGGGACCTCGGGGCCTTGTTTCCGGGCATCTTGGTCCAGCCCTTGCCGCTCCCTGCTCCCCGTGAAAACTAGTTACACTCCAGGAAATAACCGAAAGATGTTTCATGAAACCACAACCTACCAGGTCAACAGCCAGAACACAGGTTTGGTGTTAGAGAAGGGAAAAGAAAACCAAAAAACCCCAACATCCAAACCACTTTGGAAGAATGTGGTGCCTGCCTACCTAGAAAAAGTAGGGCCTTCTGTTCTGTGCCAAGTCCCCCTCAACTGGCAGTCTGGGGGGTGTAACTTTGTTGTCAAGGTACAGTTGATTAATAAACAACAGAGGCTAGAACGATGCACAGCCCTGTGGAGTTATAACTTTAAAAACTTTTTAAAAAATTCAATTACAGTTGACATACAACAATATGTTAGTTTCAGGTGTACAAAGCGAAGGGATTAAGAAGTACAAATTGCCAGTTGTAATTTACTAACTTGCAGAGGTGGATAAGACAGCAGGATTTTAGAGCCTGGTAGGAAAGTCACTTCCAAAAGTGTTGGAGGCTTTATTGCACTGGAAAAGGTAGACTAGTTTTATTTTGATATAACTTACATGTTAACTACCTAACTACATATCTATTTAGCAAACATGGTAATATAAATACATACATACATATTTTTGTCAAGCTTTCCAGAAAACAGCTTTTTTTTTTTTTTTTTTTCTGACCCTGTTGGTTCTCTCCTCAGTGAAGTAAATATAATATCTATGGGACCCAGCCTTTTCAGAATTTCACTTTTAACATGAAATTAAAGCCAGCATAGCTTAAAATTGCAAGATGTTTTACTTGGCCTAAGTATTATTACAATATTTAGCTCTCTCTCTGAGCACCATGGTCAACATGAGGATTTGAATGGACACACATAAATGGCAGAAGCACAGAAAGTAAATTTGGACCTTTGTTGTGACATGGAATATTATGTAGGATTTAAGGGTCCAACCTCTGGGAATTAGACCTGATGGGCTCAAATTCTTATTCCATCACATCTGTCTTGCTACCCTGTCAAGTTCTTTTATCTTGCTCTGCCCCAGTTTCCTTAGCTAGAAAATGGGGATATTATATAGTATTTACCTCAGAATTTGCTAAAGAATAAGGGAGGTACTGCATTTACAGTACAAATGATAAGGGCAAGATGACTTGGGAGGAGCAGCCTAGCCAGAGACCCCTCCCAGGTTAACTGTTAATCATTGCTTATCTGTTCCTGTAGCCCGTTTTCACATCCCTTCCCCCGCCTGGGTAGCACATCAATCTCATCAATCTCCCACCGGAATGCTAATCCCTTCTCCCACCTGGGAAGCCCATCCGTTTCCCGCCGGAATGCTAGGGCTTATAAACCCCTATCTAACCCCGATTCGGGGCTCAGAATTTGGAGACTGCCTCCTCTGAGCCCGCGCGTGTGAATAAAGGCTTACTCCGTTCCCTGAATCGTGTCTTGAGTCTGGCTTTCCGTAACACAAAGAGTTCTCCCCCAGCAGTAAACTTTACAACAAACATAAGCTACTTTCATTATTATTATTTATTCCATTCCCAGGATGCTGTTCAAATACAGGGTCCAACAGAAGTAATGCCATTGAGTGTGGTTAGTAGGGTACATGAATGTCTTGCACGAGATGGACAGCAATTTGAACATTTTACCTAAAATGTCCTATGGTGTGCTCGAGTGTGATATTATGTTACAGAATTATATGCTTATGATTTTGTAATAAGAGATTTTTATGTAATAAAAAAGGGTGTTATTTGTGCCAGACCCTGTATTAAAAGATATAGTTCTTTCTAGGCGCTTACACATTGGTGACTAGGGTAGTTGAATATTTTTCTTAGGGTTTTTCCAAATTATTCCAGTTCCTCTTTTGTTTCTATAAATGAACCTCAGGAAAGTTTTAGTAGTTTATCTTTATAATAGAAGGATAGTTTCAAAAGTAGTAGTGCCCAGAGTGTGATCTGTGGACCCCCCGGAGGTCTCTCAGATCTTTTTAGGGAAGATGCAGTGTCAAAACTGTTTTCACAATAGTATTAAGATATTAGTTATCTTCACTGTTCAGGCATTTGTTCTGATGGTGCAAAAGTAATGGTGGGTGAAACTGATGACACGCAGCATGAATCCAAGCAATGAAACAAAATTGACATGGTAGTCATTGCATTCATCACCACCATGTACTTAAAAACAAACACACACAAAGTGTCACTGAAGAATGTTCCCTTTGGAATGGAAGAAGAAGTACACATAGCATGCCTGCTGCATACCCAGATATGGTGGTTGTCCGGAGGCAAAGCTGTTGGACCATGATTTGCAATGCAAAACAGCTAGATTTTTTTAATGGAACACCATTTTTCCTTGAAAGAACTGACAAACTGATTCCACAAACTTAGCTATTTGGCAGACATTTTCTACAGATTGAATGCAATGAGCCAGTCACTTCAAGGAGAACAACTGATAGTGTTTGCCATCACTGGTAAAATTCAGGCTTTCAAGTCAAAATTCAAACTTTTGAAAAACTTACATCTGCCACGATGATTTTGACAACATCCCAGTATTTAAAGGTTCTTCTGATGAAATCAGTGGTCGTGCAACTATATATATGGTGTACTGATAGACTGATTGTGGCAAAATAAGATCCATGTACCTGGCCTTTTTTCCAGTTCCTGACATAGAGCTTCTAAAACTTTGGTAATGTCCCAAATGATAGGGTTGACAGAATCATCTTTTGTTATAATGAGGGAGTGCTAGGTGGGCCCCTAGATAGTTTCAGATAGGACTTGTCACTACAAAAACCAAACCTTAATTAGAAGCCTGGAACTTTTCAGCCCCACCTCCCTCCACCTCTGGGAGGGGGGAGAGACTAGAGATTGAGTTAATAATTGATCATGCCTGAGTGATGAAACCCCTATAAAAACACCTAAATAGCAGGGTTTGGAGAGCTTCCTGGTTGGGAAGCATATTGAGGTGCTTGGAGAGTGGCCATGTGGAGAGGGCACGGAAGCTCTTCACACACCACCCCCCACACCTTGCCCTGTGCGTCTCTTCCATTTGGCTGTCCCTGAGTTGCTTCCTTTATAGTAAGTAAACTGTTTTCCCAAATTATATGAACCAGTCAAGCAAAATCAAAACTGTGGAAAGGAAGTTTGTGAAAACACCTGATTTATAGCCAAGTCAGACAGAAGTGTGAGGATCCAATATTTGTGACTGGCCCAACTGAAGTGGGACTGAGCCCCAAAAGCTGTGGAGTCTGACACTATCTTTGGGTGGTGTCAGAATAGGATTTAATTGAAGGACATTCATTCGGTTGGTGTCTGGAGAATCAGAGTTGTTGGTGTTGGAAAATACCCGGGCTGCTGAATTTTAATGTCACAGAATAGAAGTTCATCGATAAGTTTGTGAATTCTGCATTGTATGAAACTTGAAGAAACTACCACTTGTTGAGTTTGGGTGTAGTGTTAAAGAAAGATACCCAAAATCAACTGAAAAGATTATTAAAATACTTCTTCCTTTTATATTTATCTGCCCAAGGAAGAATTTTCTCCATATTCTTTGACCAAAGTAACATTGCAAAAGATTGAACACAGAAACAAGTATATGTATCCAGCTATCTTCTATTAAGCGAGATGTTAAAGAGATTGGCAGAAAGGAAAAGAATGCTCATTTTCTGTTTTAGAAAATATGTTATTCTTTAAAATATGTTCTTGTAACATATAATAGGGATATTATAATTTTCAAATGAATTAATTAATTAGGGGAACATTACTACTAAACCTACAAAAATAGAAAGGATTATAAATGAATACTATGAACCATTGTATGCCAACAAATTAGATAACCTAATGGAATGGATAAATTCCTACAGAGACACAAACTCCCTAAAATTGACTCACTAAGAAATAGAAAATATGAATAGATACATAAGTAAGAGTTGGAATTATTTTAAAACTTCCTATAAAGAAAAGACCAGGCCCAGGTGATATCACTGTCGAATTCTACATTTAAAGAAGAATTAATACCAATCCTTCACAAGATTTTCAGAAAACTAGAAGGGGATGGAATACAGCCTAACATATTCTATGAGGCTATTACCCTGATCCCAAAACTAGACATCACAAGAAAAGTACAGACCATTATCTCCTATTAATATAGACACAAAAACCCTCAAAAAAATACAAGCAAACTGAATCCAGCAACAAACATCCAGGGTTATATACTATGAACAAGTGGGATGTATCCCAAGAAGGCAAGCTTGATTTACCATCTGAAAAATAATGTAATACATCATATCAATAGAAGAAAAGACAAATCATAGAATAAATACAAGCAGGAAAAAAACATTTGACAAAATTCAATTCCCATTTATGATAAACACAAACTAGGAATTGTAGGGAACTTTCTCATCCTAATAAATGGCATCTAAAACCACACAGAAGCATCATACTTAATGCATCAAACCCCTCACCCTCCAATCAGGAACACAGTAAGGATGTCCGCTTTTGTCACTTCTATTCAACGTTTTACTGGAGGGTCTAGGTAGGACACTTAGGCAAGAAAAAGAAATATAAGTATTGTCAAAATTTATGACAGAGACCTTAACTTAGGAATCTGGAGGACCTGTAAAAGGAGGTATCACACCCTATATCACTCACAAAATCCCTACAGGAAGACCTCTCTGTTTACAACAGAGCTCTATGATTATAACAGCCCCTCCCCTTAACTTCCTCTTCCCCTCTGTGAAAAGGGGTTTCCTGCTTCCTCTTGCTTTCTTTTTGTGTTGGGTTGGCCCAAAAGTTCAT